CCTTGAAATTTTGATTGGCTGACTGATGGCCGGAGGTTATCGGCAGCTTGTGTAACCTTGACGGTCGCTCCTGTTAAACAAACATCATATTCTATTTTACCCGATGTAAACAAACATCAGCGATTGGCTGGGAAGACCCGGAATACCCATCAGTCTCCCCGGATCAGCCCGACGGGTCACCCGTGGGTGAACGGGTCAATTCACTAGTTACAATAGTCAGCCAATTACATTTATCGCGTTGGTTCATGCAATGAATTTAATACGTACGTACGTACAAATTAAAGTTGGTGAAGTGGTTAGGTTTCACCAACACTAGTACAAATTAAAGACTCGATTAGTGAGATGTATAAAATACTGCATTAATATTGATATATCAAAAAGTACATAACTTAATACACCAATAAAAACTTCAGCGTTCATTGCTTGCATTTGAACAAAACAATAAAATTAAAAATTAATAAAGTTCTTATTTTCATTATTATTTTGTAGTACATGAACAGCTTTTAAACGTTGAATAATAATTTTCAATAATTTTCGCACTAACTTCATATGTCTGGATTTCATATATACGCATCAAAATTTATAAAACATAATGGTGGTAATTCGGATCTGGGTGGAACTTGTTTAAGATGCAATCAACCCACTAACTCCAGGACTTGGTGCAAGTTTTGTGATCCAAAAATATTGGCCCGAGGCTGGCAAAGCGGTAACAAAGAAGTTGATAATTTAATCAAGGAAAGTATATATTGCGCAGATAAATTTCATGATCCTTTTCTTGAATGGATTCCTTATAATAGACTTGAGATCATAAAAAAACTCGGTGAAGGTGCATTTGGAGTTGTTAATCTTGCTCGTTGGTTGGATGGTAGTAGAGGTTTTCAATATGCTAAAGGACGTAGTCCACCATGTTTAGTTGCAGTAAAACAGCTAAAAGATACGTGTTCACAACACTTTTCAAATGAATTTTTTAAAGAAGTAAGGATAATTATTATTCTGAATTCAACAAATATTACAAAATATCTTACTAAGATTTAATAAATTTAGGTTAAATTTCATCTTGCTTGCCAGTTAGGTGGGAATCCAATGAATATAAATATAGTGTGGTTATATGGTATCACAAAAGATCCCCAAACTGGTGATTACATGATGGTAATGGAATATTGTAGTAAGGGTAATTTTAGAGACAACTTAGGAACTCTTTGTCGAAGGAACTGGGAATATAAAATTACGACTCTTTGTTTATTGGCACAAGGCTTATTTAACATTCATAATGCAGGATTTTCGCATTGTGATCTTCATAGTAGTAATATTTTACTTGGAAAATTTGGACCAGTGATTACAGATTTTGGATTATCAAGAAACAATATTAAAATAGAAAAAAAAGTATGTGGAATCATGCCTTATATCGCACCTGAAGTTTTTATGAGATATTTGTTTTCACAAGCGGCTGATATTTACAGCTTTGGTATTATTATGACGGAGTTAGCAACTGGTAGTCTTGCATTCCATGATAGACCACATAATTCTGATTTAGTAAAAGATATAATATATGGTTTAAGACCGAAAACAAGAGAAGGAACTCCACAATTGTATCTTTCTATAGTCAATGCATGTCTTGATAATGATCCATTAAAACGACCAACTGCAAGAGACTTGGTTAATATTTTGGATTTTTATGATAGAGCATTTCAAAAAAGCAATTATTTTGTTTATACACCTGAGAAAGTAAACCTTTCATTAAACATTAAAAACTCATTTGAAAATGCTGATAAGACCCCAATTGAACAATCTGAATTAATTGCAACTCATACGGAAGCTTTGTATTTTGGTAGACATTTAGAATATGAAGGTAGATTTTTGAATTATTTAGCTAAATATAAGCATTTAATCAATCATTTTAAAATTTTGTTTTACTGTTTCTTATGCAGGTAGCTTTAATACGTCTGATGTTCTTTTCGAATTAGGAAATACTTGTCAGTTTAAAGAAAAAACTAATGATGATGGTAAGCTTTTCTAAATTAATTAGTTAATTATAAATTAATACCTTTTACTTACACCAATCTTATTTTATAAGATTCTTTTGTAATCGACTTGATTCCATCCGATTATTTTGCACGTCAAAGGCTTATGGATATTTACAAAAAACATGATCTCTCCAAAGAATCAATTATTGAAGTCACTATGTCTAATCAATTTACGGATTTAACTCAAATTTTAGAAATTGTTCCCGACAATGCTGAGTCATTAGTGCATAAACCAAATCCATTTGAAATTAACGTTAAGTCATTAGTACATAAACCAAATCCATTTGAAATTAACGTTAAGTTGTACGATATAATAGAATTGGGTAAACGTGCAACGCTTTATACTAATATGGAAAGATATGATGAGGCACTTGCAGATTTAAGCAAAGCATTAGAAATTAAGCCGAATGATGCATGGATATTAGAACTTCGTGGGACTACTTTTAAAATGATGAATCAATATGCAGAAGCTCTTGAGGATCTAACAAGATCATTAAAAAATGGTGGCCGTAATGTTACAAAGTTGTTAAATCGAGGGCAAGTTTACTTCTCGATTGATAGATATGAAGATGCACTTACTGATCTGAACGAAGCGTTAAAAATTGAATCCAATCACCCAATGGTATTAGAAGCTCGTGGACAAATTTATTTATTGTTGGGTCAATTTGAAGATGCTCTTGAAGATTTAAATAAAGTGTTAGAAATTGTACCATATAATACGATCTCCCTGAAAAGTCGCGCGTGTGTTTATCAAATGATGGATTGCAATGAAGAAGCGCTTGTAGATTTAAATCTTGCATTAGAAATTGAACCAAAAAATATAGATGCATTAGAAAGTCGTGGAACAATTTTTATAGTGCTGAATCGTTTTGAAGATGCACTTACGGATTTAAGCAAAGTATTAGAAATTGACCCAAATAACAGAGCGGCATTGAAATTGCGAGGAGGCATCTATTATGAAATGAATAGGCCTGAAGAATCACTTGAAGATTTAAATTCTGCAATAGAAATTGATCCCCATGATGCGGAAATTCTCGTATGTCGTGGTAAACTTCACAAGGATATGGGAAATTATGAAAAATCTCTTGATGATTTCAACAGGTCTTTGATAATTGATCCAAGCGATATCATTTCTTTAAGATTTCGTATAGATGTTTATCTTCAGATAGAAAAACTTGAAGAGGCGCTTAAGGATCTTGATAAATATTTGCAAATTGAACCAAATAATGCAGAAGCTTTGAATGATCGTGCTGACATTTATGCGAAGATGGAATATTACAACAAATCACTTGATGATCTCAGTAGATCTATAGAAATTGAGCCAAATGATGCATATACTTTAGCAAGACGTGGCGACATATATAGACTAATGGGAAAATATGAAGAGTCACTTAATGATCTAAATAAATATTTAGAAATCAGACCGAAAGATGTAGCTATTTTAATTACTCGTAGTGATGTTCATGCACAGATGCGTAAATATAAAGAGTCGCTCGATGATGTTAGCAAATGCCTAGAAATTGAGCCAGATAACGTAATTTATTTAATAAGCCGTGGTAAAATATATATGGCACTGAAAATGTATGAAGAGTCGCTCAGCGACCTGAATAAGTCCTTGAAAATTAAACAAAATGCACTTTCTTTAAAAATTCGTGGTGATGTTTATAAAAGGATACGCAAATATAAAGAATCTCTTGATGATCTTAATAAATCTCTAAAACTTGATCCAAACAATGCAGATACTTTGGGAATCCGTGGAGATTTACATAAGCTAATGAATAACTATGAAGAATCGCTCAATGATTTAAATAAATCCCTAGAAATTAAACCAAATAATATATTTGTCTTAAGAACTCGCATTTATATTTATATAAAGATGCGCAAAAAAGAAGAATTGCTTAAGGATCTTAATATAATTCTAGAAATCGAACCAAATGATGCATCCATTTTAAATCTTCGGGGTTATGTTTATATGACAATGTATAAAGATAAAGAATCTCTTGAAGATCTTAATAAATCTCTAGAACTTGAACCAAACAATGCAGATACTTTAAGAAATCGTGGCGAATTATACAGGTTAAAAAAGAACTATAAAAAATCACTTAACGATTTAAATAGATATTTAGAAATTAAACCAAATGATACATCTATTTTAAGAACTCGTGGTGGCATTTATAAGAAAATGCGCAAATATAAAGAATCACTCGATGATCTCAATAGATCTCTAGAAATCGAGCCAAACGATGCAGATACTTTAAGAGACCGTGGTGAAATATATTATTTGTTAAAAGATTATGAAAAATCGCTCATAGATCTCAACGAGTCATTAAAAATTAAACCAGATAATGAATTCACTCTATTTGCTCGCGATATAACTTTGTGGGCTATGGGTAAATTTGAGGAATCGCTTGTTAGGTAACTATAAAAAATCGTCTAAGATTTAACAAATCATTGGAAATTAAGTCAAATGACCATTCTACTTTAGCAACTCGCTCTAGTTACTGGTAAAAATAATATATATTTTTTAAAAATATTTAAAAAAATATAATAAATATATTAAATATGATTTTTATGCTTATTATATTTTATTAAATGTTACGGTTATCGCGAAATTTGGATCTATTTTATGTGCGATTTTTAAAAATTTTTAGAGCCTTTTTGTCGACTTTTTTTTTATAGTTAAGTTAGGATTTAGGGTAAGAATTATTAATAAAAGAGTATAGGTGGATTTTGGTTGGGCTAATATTTTCAAACTGAGACCCCAAATTTCACGATGATCCGATTTCACAATAATCCGCAACATATAATATAATTATATTATTATTCCTTAAACTGTATTCCAGGCAAATTTGTCTGTAAAATTAAATTATATTTAGTATTTTTTAAATAAAACAATAATTTATTAATGATTAATGATATGGGGTATATATTTATAACTATTTTTATTCAGTAGTGATGTTACCACCTTTAATTTTTTATTAAAATTTAGGGTTAGGGTGTAGTTTTATAAAAAAATAAGGGTTAGATATAAAGGTTTAAATTTTAATCAGAGTTAGATTTTTGGGTGTTCTGAACATTTTTGCTTAATACCCTGATATGTGTTAGCTAGTAGGTTTTTGAGATACAGTATTTTGAGTGATATTATTATGAGGGCAAGTTAACAAAAATCATATATTTATTATAAAATATATTTTTAAAAGACAAGACTATACAGTGCATCCTGCACTTTGTGCATCTTGCTATAAAATTTCTATAAAATCACTAATATCTCAAAATTTTGATTAGGTAACCCTGTTGTATAACATAAGCAAAAATGTCACTCTTGAAATTTTACTTTTCCTAACCCTAAACATAACTCTAATTCTAAACTTAACCTAACCTAATATCTATTGCCAGCTCAATTTTGCTATAGGGTATACAAAGTGCATAGTGCACTGTTTAGATTTTTTTAAAAACATATTTTATAAACTTTATTATAAAAATTTTTAAAATTATTAATAAACTTTTGAGTAATAAAATTTTTAAAATTATTAATAAACTTTTGAGTAATAAAATTTTCAAGTTTTTATTTAAAAATTATTATTAAAATTTTTAAGATTTTATATGTTTTCAAAAATAAAAATTTTTGCTCTTAATATAAATTTAAATTTTATAACTACATTGCAAAAGTTGTAATAATGATAATTATCATCCTTTATATAAGCTATTTTTTTGTTTTAAAAACTATAGATTTAAAATTAATATTTAAAAAAGTTCTCCAAAAATAAGTAGATAATTTTAATTAAATTTTTTTTTTAAAATTAGTATATTTTTATTTTATAAGCAACTTAAATTTTTTTTCTTATTCTTTCAGGCAAATTTGCCTAAAAAATCTAATTGTATTTAATATTTTTAAATAAAAAATAATTTATTAATAATATAAAGTATACTTTCTTTATAAAATATATTTTTGAAAATATATTTTATAAACTTTATTATAAAAATTTTTAAAATTATTAATAAACTTTTAAACAATAAAACTTCAAAGTTTTTATTCAAAAATTTTATTATTAAAAATTTTTATTATTAAAAAATTTTCAAGATTTTTTAAGATTTTATGTCTTCAAAGCTAAAAAAAATTTGCTCTTAATACAAGTCTAAATTTTTATAAGTTACAAAGTTGTAATAATAAAAATTGTTATTCTTTATATAAGCTAAAATATTGTTTTAAAAACTATATCTTTAAAATTAATATTTAAAGAGTTTATCAAGAATAAGTAAATAAATGTTTTTATTAAATTTTTTTTAAAATTATTTATTTTTATCTTACAAGCAACTAAGACTTTTTCTTATAATATAAAATTTAAATACTGCTATAATATTAACCTTATTTTTAAATATTATTAAAAAAAAATTTATTCAAATATATTAAAATTTAAAAATGTTAATTATAAACATACTGTATTTATAGTAAATTTTCTAGACAAATTTGCCTAAAAAAGCCTTACAGTTCAAGGAATAAAATAAAATTAAATACTACTAAAATATAATCCTTATTTTCAAATATTATTAAAAAAATATTTATTTAAATATTTTAAAATTTAAAAATATAGATTATAAGTATATTTATAAAAATTTTTCAGGCAAATTTGTTTAGAAAAGCAGAGATAATAATATATTAGTAATATTAGTACAAATTATAACTTAATTCTAAATATTTGATATTTTTTTTTTTTATATTAAAGTGAGGTTTTGCCTTTATTTTTATTAATAATTTGTGTTGATAATCCACAAGGGGTTTCTCTGGCCGAAGCTATATTTTACAAATTTTTATACAAGAATAAGACTCAGACTATTTTATCTGTAACCTAAACCTATTAGAGTAGTTAAAACTCACCTAAATTTAATAATTTATTATGTTATTAGTTAGTGTACTATATTTAATCCATTGAATTATCTATAAAGATATTTTTCTAATAGCTTTTCCAAGAGGTGGGCATATATTATCAGTATGTTGTTGGTCTGGTAGACCACAAGGACAATTGTAAGTATAGGGTATTCTGTATTGATTATGTGTACAATTACTTGTGGAATTGGTAATTTGTTGATTCAAAATTTGTGTTCGGTTAGGTTGAGTAGAGATGTTGTTTTGTTCTTTCCATTCAGATAATTTTATACAGTAAGGTTTCTAGATCTGGTTGTGAATATTTTGTGTTAGTTGCAGTAATAGTTGAATAGTAATATTAGTAATT